AAAAAGGAAGTTTGAATATATATATATATATATATATATATATTCAAACTTCCTTTTTATATATATATATGAAAATAAAAAAAGTACCCAAAAACTGTTTTCAATTCTGCACTGATGAAGCCAATTGGAAAACTCCCATCAATTTTCACTGGAGCAGAAACAGACCCTAAATTTTCATTTATTTATTCCAACAAGGCAGCTGTGATTAGTGCTGGCATTCTACAGTTGAGATGACCCAAACCAGTTCTAACAAACACCAGTACATTTCCAGCAAAGAATTATTAGCCCAAAGGGCTAAAACTGTGGTCAATGGGCATTTATACAGACGGGCCACATCTCACAATTTTATCATCAGTCCCATGACATTTGGAATTTTTAGAGCTCCAGCTTCTGAGGTCAGGTAAAATTACATTAGAACAGGGGTGGGCAAAATACAGCCCATAGGCCGGGTCTGGCCCGTCTAACATTTCTGTGCGGCCCGCCATGACTAACATTTCTGTCCAGCCTCCTCTGCCCCCTCACGATCTCCGAGTCCGAGCCACTAAAAATCCCGTGGCAGAGCGGGGCGCACAGGCAGGCTGCCTGCCTGCTGTGGCCCCACACTGCTCCTGGAAGCGGCCAGCTGCTGCTGCCACATCTCTGCGCACCCCAGTGGGGGGAGGCAGCTCCACGTACCACCCCTGCCCCCAGCACCACCCTCACAGGTCCCATTGGCCGGAAACCAGAAACCGGCCAATGGGAGCTGTGGGGATAGTGCTTGTAGGCACGGGCAGCACACGGAGATGTGCCAGCAGCAGCTGGCCACAGCCACTTCTGGGAGCGGCATGGGGCCATGGCATGCAGGCAGTCTGCCTAAGCCCTGCTGCGCTGCCAGCTGTGAGCCACCTGTAGTAAGTGCCTCCTGACCAGAACCTGCACCTCACATCCCCTCCTGTACCCCAACCCCCTGCACCCAAACTCCCTCCCAGAACCCGCTTCCCCTCCATTAATATAGTAGAAATGTGCAGCCTGTGACAACTTACCAACATTTGTGGAGTGGCCCCCCTGCGAAAATTATTGCCCACCCCTGTATTAGAATCTCAGCTTTCATTAATATATATATTTCTAGCCTTCACAATGCTGGATAAAAGCTTGAAGATGTGAATTCTAGAGGTCACATACCAAAAGGCATTGGGGGAGGGGGGGACAACTTATTTTTTTAAATCATGATTTTAAGCTAATCATGACTTCTGAATGCTTGGGGTGGGCAATGCTGCTCAGTGGCAACAGTTTTCCCAAATCTTGGTTGCAGTTTTCAAAGCTGACTAGGGAATTTAGCTTCACAATTCCCATTAACTTCAAAGGGAAGTGTGCAGCAAAATCCTCTAACCGCCTCTTGAAATTGATGAGTTATGGGGCTTTTCAAATTTCAGCTCTTAAATCCATTCTCTACATTAAGATAGACTTGTAAACAATCCAACTGTTTGTTTTTCTTTAACATCTAAACTTAGGGGGGTTTGAGGGTTACTGGCACAAGTGGTCAGTTCATAGCTGCTTTCTTGAACATAGCAGCGTTCCTATACAAATTTCATTTGCTCCATTCCCAAATAAAACAGGATCCAGCTGCAATCTGCCAATCAGAATCCCACCAAGTCACAGGGCCCGTCTGTTGGCAGGGCACAAGATCCTGAAATAAATGATCTACAGGAAGCATTTCCACTCCCTCTCAGATTGGTATATAGATTTATAGAGCTGCAGCCCCTTGCTTTCTGCACAGCCGATTTCACTTCACATTGTTCAAACTACTTAACACGTTGGTGCAAACCTAGCTAACAACAGAGTCAGTTCTAAGCAACTCAGAGCAGGCTTCAACCCGGACTTCAGAACGCCCTCCAAGCACAGCACAGCATTCTGCACGTTGTCCCATAGCGCTCTCCTTGCCCTCCCCACGACCCTGCAAACTCCCACCGACAGATCTAGAGAGCTGACCTACACCAGCAGCGTTTACCTAACAACAGGGGAGGAGAGACCTACAGCGGCCGCATGGAGACATTTTCTTCTGCTTGGCAAACTGACACGTCATGTGCTGTGCGCCTCTTAAAGGCGCAATGCTTAATTCCTGATTTGTGCTGACCACACAAGCACACCTAAAGGGGAACTCCCCACGTCATGTAAATACTTTGCAAACACTGTAAGGTCTCCAAACCAGCCAAGGCACATACACAGCAGGCATACGCTGAAAATCTCAAATATATTTATATTTAAAAATTGCTTCCTCCTTCATCTACCTGACAAGACCTGGGTTTGTGGGTCTCTCCTTGCTTAGTTCCTGGAGTGATGTTTGCCAGGCCCCCAACTATTGCAGGAAAATCTGAGCATCACGAGCTCAGGTCTTGGCAGAAAAGTAGAGGAGGGTTTGGTTTTTAAACATGTAAAATGTTCTAAGAAAATGTGCTGGTAGTTTTTAAGTCTACACATCCCAGCTGCGTTGGGGCCTGCAGTAGTTCATGCAGCTGTTTCAGAGCTGTCATTTGGACTGTTGTACTGATGAAGAAAAAGCTGACCCCTGACCCAGCCTGGAGCCCCCTCCCACACCCTGAACCCTCATTTCTGGCCTCACCCCAGAGCCCACACCCCCCTGCCCCAGCCCAGAGCCCCTTCCCACACTCCAACACTCCACACTCCAACCCCTTGCCGCAGCCTGGAGCCCCATCCCAAACTCCGAACCCCTCTGCCCCAGCCCAAAGCCCCCTCCTGCTCCCCAACCCCTTCATCCCCGGCCCCAATCCAGAACCTGCACCCCCAGTCGGAGCCCTCACTCCCCTGCACCCTAACCACCTGCCCCAGCCCTGAGCCCCCTCCCGCACTCCAAACCCCTCATCCCTGGCCCCAGACGGAGCCCTCAGCCCCACCCACACCCCAACCCTCTGCCCCAGCCTGGTGAAAATGAGCGAGAGGAGAGGAAAGCGAGCGACGGAGGGAGGGGGGTTGGAGTGAGTGAAGATGGGGCCTCGGAGCAGAGCAAGGGTGTTTGGTTTTCTACAATCAGAAAGTTGGCAACCCTAGGGGAGGTGCGGACAGGAGTAAGGGGGGGTTCGACCCTGAAAAGTTTGGGGACCACTGCTCAGGTGGTACTGTAGCATATGTGGGGGTTGGGAGAAAGGTAGGGTGAACTGTTTTCCAGCTCTCTACAGACCTACAACTGTGTGGGATGCCCTCCCTCACTTCCCCTATGGGAGCACTAGGATCCATGCAGTACCACTGGCAATGGAACAGTTTTTATAGTGGGGATGCTGACAGCCATTGAACAAAACTGTAAGCCTTGTATATGATGGAAACTACTTCAAGCCAGGGGGTGCTGCCACACAGCACCCCTAATTCTAGCAGCCCTGTGCAGTACTCCCTGGCGCTTTGTGGACTGGGAGAAGAAAGCAGTGTTCCCAACTCACAATTTTATTACAAGTCTTGCCATATTCGACGTTTTTCTAATACCCAGCTCCTGGATGCTTGTGATTAGGCGAGCATCTCTGCTTTAATGAAAAAGAAAGTTTTTAGCCCTCATGATTGAATAGCTTCAAACTGTGAACCACATGCATCCTGAAGGCTTGGAAACCAAATGACAAATAAAATGAGCCCCCGCTTTTATTTATTTTTTAATCTCATTTTTGAGGCCTGATCCATGATTTGTGAACACTTGGTGTTGGCAATACTGACTGAGAAAACTTCCAGGGAGGAGCCAGCCCAAAGAACAGAAGCAGCCTCACTAGGTGCTGCAGCAGGGACTGGCAATAGTAAGTGTCAGGCTGCTTTCCACAGCTTTCACTCAACATTCTTTCCCCCTGGCTGCCTGCTCCAAACCCCTTGCAGTCTCTTCACCTCAGCCTCACTCCACTTGACCTCCATGCTTATGTTTGTCTCCCTCCTCTTACCAAGTTAAATGGTGAATTCTCTATTTCTTGATGTCTTCAGCGCAAGACAGGATGCCTTTGTGGAAGACATGTTTCTGCGATACCCAAGTTACTGGGCTCAATACAGGAGTAACTGGGTGAAATTTAATGGCCTGTGATAAACAGGAGGTCAAATTAGATGATCTAATGGTGTGTTATGGCTTTAAAATCTATTAATCCCCTATCCTGATCTCTCATCCCCCCACTTCAACATCCTCTCTCCGTTTCTTTGTCTTTCAGTTTAACTAATCTCTTTCCCCCCAAAAAGGGTTTTTTTTTAAATAAAATTGTAGCACTAGCCTGACATTTGCCACCTTCACATTGTTCTGCTTGTGTGTTATAAACTTTCCCCCCTACCCCTGGTCTGTCTTGTCTCTTTAGATTGTAAATTCAACAGAACAATTTAGCATTTGTATGATGTCTAGCACAATGGAGCCCCATTCTCGGTGAGTATCTAGGCACTATCATAATACAAATAAAAGTAATAATAACAGTAATAATTTTCTGCCCCGTGACATTGGGCAAGTCACATAATCTTGCTGCCTTACGAAGATGTTTTATTTTGGCGGGGGGGGGGGTGTATGTTTGTTTCTGTCGAGGGCCTTGAGATCCAGGTTCTCTGCAGTTTCCTGATAGGAATGTTGTGTGAAAATGGAGATTATGGTTGCATGCACTG